TCGGACATTCAAATCCTGTACTTTTTTTGGAATCCCCCCATGTCACTTAGGATACATTTGGTCACAAATGTTGAAGAAGGAAGGGGAAACGAAGAGTGGGACGATTGGCTAAAGCCCTATAAATGCCTCCTATACTGCTATTGAGTACAAAAAATACCGAATTTGCTGACCTAAACTATGTGTAGCCCAGCTGTATCTGCCATTTTGGCAAGCCCTGGATTCTCTCTAGATGATTGGCTGTGGCTGCTTACACAGACGTGGTGAAACTTATTGTCTTCCATGTTCCAGGCTCCAGGCCAAGTGCTGGGGGTACAGTGGTGAGGAAGTTGACATGGCTACCCCCTCACAGAGATTATCGTCTCAAGGAGGAAAGTGCAGTGTTGAGGAAGGACAGGGAGCCAGCAGGACACACAGGTAGTCGGGGAAGGTTTGCAGAGAAAGAGATCTCTTAAAGGATAAATTAGAATTCACTGGAAAGAGAAGTGGGTCTTGGATGAGGGTTTTTGCAGACTGTTCTAGGTAGGAGCACGTGAGCAAAAGGCCTAAATGTGAGAAAGTACAGCCTGTTTTGGGAACCGACTGTAGTTCAGAATGGCTGCGAGAGACAAAGCTGGAAGAGTAGACAAGACACTTGTCAACAGAAAAGAAGACAAACTCTGCAAAATAATTTAAAGAGGTTTATTCTGAGCTGAATTTAGGGACCATGGCCCAGAGCCACACCCAGGAAACCTTGAGCAAGTAGACTTGCTATGGCTGGGTTACAGTTTGGTTTTATATATTTTAGGGAGACAGGAATTACAGGTAAAGTCATAAATATCAGTACATGGAAGGCATACATTGGTTTGGCCTGAAAAGATGGGACATCTCAAAGTGGGGGCTTACAGGGCATACATGGGTTTAGGGATTAAGGCAGGGCATCTTGAAGCGGGGGCTTACAAGTCATAGATGGATTTAGGGATTCTTTACTTGACAATTGTCTGAAAGAGTTGGGCTTTGTCCAAAGACCAGGAGTCGGCCTAAAGGAATGCTTAAGATAAGGGTCTTTTATCTTTCATGCAATGCTATACCGTAATCAGGGCAGGATATAAACTTCATCATAAAAACCTGTTTACTGAGATTTTATAATTTATAGGTGTGATTCACCAGGCCCCTTTAGAAAGGAATTTGAGCAAAAGAAAATGATCTGAGTTTAGTCCTCACCCTGATCCCAGAGGGGCTTATATGCCATTTAAAAAAGTTTAGACCTAGGGAGCTCTGGAAGGTGTTCAGGGTGGTGAGTGACATGACCAGAATTTCTTTCTGGGAAGATCCTCTTTCTGCAGAGTTAAGAGTGGAGGGAGGTGGGAGTGGCCTGTAGCCTGGTGGTGAGGTGGCCAGTTAGGCTGTTGCAGGAGGGATGATGCTGGCTTGAGTTAAGGAAGTGACAGAGTTGGTGGGAAGGAGTGGATGCTGGCTGAAGGTGTTTGGGGAGGTAGCGTTAACAAGCTTAGTGATGGATAGATCTATAGGCTGAGGGAGGAGCCACTAAGGGTGATGGCCACATTTCTCGCTTGAAAGTTCAGTGGAAAGGGTACCATTTGCTAAGAGAAGTCACACAGTAGGGGGAAGAGGCTTGTGGGAAGAGATGATGAATTTGGTTTTGGACACATGGAGACTTTTAGGTGTCTGTGGAGACATCTAGTAGGCATTTGGATATGTGGGTCTGCAGCTCAAGAAGAAACAGCAGGAGGCATAGGAATGAATGAGATCACTCAGGGAGAGTGAGTAGCAGGAGAAGAGAGCCTAGAGCCAGTGCCTGAGAAACCCTCAAATTAAGGAGCAGGCTGAGGAAGAGGAAAGTGCTGAAGGGAAGGCCAACTAGAGATGGCCTGGCCAGAGAGGCAGGTGGAAAACCAGGGGATGTGCTGCTTGGCAGCCAATGAGGAGTGTTTTTTGATAACAGCCTCAAAAGCTGCCGAGAGGTAGAATGGGGTGAGGACTGAGAGTCCCCTGTGGTCCGTGACAAGGTCGTTGTCAACCTGGGAAAGCTGCTTCAGTGGAATAGGTGGGGCTGATGTTGGGTTGTTGTGGTTTGAGGAAATGATGCACAGTGGCAGGGGCAGGGGTGGGTGGAGACGTGGGTGTTAACAGCTCTTCCCAAAGGTACTGTGAGTGGGGAAGAAAAGTGCATCGGTTGGGCGAGCTGTCAGAAGTTGTGTATTGTCAAGCCGGCTTAGATGGCTAAGTAGGGCTGTGGTGAGCTGAGATGACGGGGGAGGGTAACGGAGTGAGTGTCTGAGGGTGGCAGGGGAGGGCATGGCAAGCACATGGCCATCTCCTGATGTGGCTGTCCTGGGAATGAGTGTCCTCCCTTGAGAGCCCTGTCTGGGCCCGTGGCTGTCAGGGAGGTGACCTCTACAAAGGGCCCGGTAGTCCTTTGTAAATATCTTCGTCTGGAGGCAAAATGGCTCACGGCCAGAGTTAGATTTTAAAAGCTAAATCTGCCACATGCGTGTTTTCTCGTGTCCTCTCTCTGAGTACTATTATCTCTGATAGGTCCCGGAAGTGAAGCAGTCCATCTGGGTAGCTGAACACATTTTCTGTGGATCCCCTCATTGATACAAGGCTTTGGAGGACGGGGTACAGCCACACTGGGGATGATTCAGACTTGTTCAGGGTAGAGCTCCCCTCTGTTTGATCCTGTGTTCAGACAATTGAACTTGTCAAATGGGGTTAGCATTACACAGGGCTAGAAATATTCCTTTGTTATTCCTAACACTGCACACACACTCACACACACGCACTCTCACACTCACACACAGACATATATATTTTTTTCAGTAGGAACTCAGATGAAAGCCCACTTGGCTTTTTCATTGAGAGGGACACATAAGTCCCTGGCACTTATTAAGAGTCCTTATTGAGGATAATGCTTTCTCTGGCAGTTTCTCTACCAGGGACCTGTCTGTGTAAGTAGGATACTTGATTGCCCCGGCACCTGGCCACAGGGCTTGATTTAGACGATGGCAGGCGTGGCATTTAGCAGAAAGGTTAGGCTCAGACTAATGACTTTCCTCCAGGAGAGGGCTTGTAATTTGCACATAAAGCAGTGCAAAAAATAGTTTGTGTAAGTTCAGGAGTCATTTAGTAAGTGAAACTTGTGCATTTGAATGCAATGCCAGTGGAAAGTACAGAGTTGTTGGAAATATAACCAGCCAGTGCATTGAACTGTACCTTTTAATGAAATTTTCTTGAAGCTGAAAGAAAAAGAGAAGAAAAGCGTAATGGATGGTACCACTTATTTTCTTTCCCTAGTGTTTATTTCCTCTTAGGTGAACATGAAGGGAATGTTAATATATTTTCTTTAGTGGGGTGCAAAACTGAATCAGCATCTGGTAAAGAAATGGGGTGTGGGGCAGCATCAGTCCCACCGGCCTGGAGTCCAGCTGACACGGTCAGTGCCAAGGGCTTTGTCCAGCCCTGGCCATAGCCACTTTTTTGGCGGGTCAAGCTCCGACCATCACCGCTTGTGTGTATTACTGCCTAGTCTTGAGAAATACCGAGGAAGGAGGGTGAGCCCTCATGCCAGCTGATGACCAGAAGGGAGCTTTAGAAGGATGCTGCCCAGGAAGCTTTTGTAAGCCCGTCAGGCCTGCAGGAAATCTTGAGAATTAAGGAGGTAAGGTATGAGCCAAATGACAGGGAGAGAGAGTTGATAGTGAAACTGAGCTCTACAAATGCTGTTCTGGACTGAGCTAGGTCCCTTCCCCGGGAAAAGCCACACCTTGACCACGAGGAACTTCCCTCCCACCCACTGCTCCCTCTGCACCTTTTCACTGCCTTCTCTTGGTTCTGTTGAAGGAGGGCTTCTGTGCTCTTCTGTGCCCCAGGTCAGTGCTGGGTGCAGGGAGACTTCTGGGCAGTTGTGGGAGGCTAGAAGGGGCCCTGGAACGGTGGTAGGGGAAACTTTTTGAGCATGAGTTTCTCCAAAAATTCTGACTGCTCTTACTGAGCCCTTGGTGCCCAGGATGCTCCATGTGTCCATCATCCTAAGTGCTTCTGCCTTTCCCCAGGGAGTCTAAGTAAACTCAGAGGAAGGGAGCCTCAGAAGGAGCTTTTTTGCCCTTCCTTTCAAAGCAGCACTCTTGTTTCCTGTTTACACCAGCACTACAACCCCCTTGGGAAGTGGCTAAGGAACTATAGGAGGATGGGCGGTGGTGGAGAGGGAATCTGAGAGGTCCGCCCCACTCAGACTCTGTTCTGGGAAATTGGGATTGAAAGGGAAGGAAGGAGAGAGAGGAGTCTGAAGTGGCAAGGCAGCCTCTCCCACTGCACTGTGCTGGCCCCAGAGCTGGGCCCTCCCACCCGCTGCCCACCAGGGAAGGAGGCAGGAATGGACTCCAGTCTGGTCCTACTGCAGGGCAGGCAGGGTGTGTGTCAGGCATGTGAGCTGGAAGGAGAGTGAATGCTGTCTGGACACTTTGGTCCATGGTAGGTCAAGTAGAATTGATTAGCTCATTAGTTCATCCAGTCCATGGGTACCAGCTACGTTCCAGGTGCTGCTTAGTGCGGTGGTGAATAGGTAGCCCACGGCCCCTGACAAATCATCTGCCATGTATGTGATGTTTTGACCAAGCACCCCAGATGACATATACTAAGGTGTGTACGTGTTTTCATATGTCCATTATAAAGCATACACAGGGAGGGAAATAAGAATGCTGTAAGTAGAAATAAGTTCTAATATTTCCTCCCACACCTCAGTAGATTATATTGCACGCAACCTGCTTCAGAGAGCACTAGCATGGACTGGAACCTTAATGGGTGGGCTTTGTGTCAGATGCCACCTTACACATTTGAGTTGGGGCTGCCCGTGTGAAAAGAGGAAGCATGGCAGGCAGGTACTGAGGTCAGATGGTATATTAATATTAGCACACGGGCCCCAACAAGGCCTCAGGGTCACTGTTCTTCCTCCCACCCCACCCTCCTTGGGAAGGGTGCCCAGGTCGCCTGGGGTGGGTGTTTAGGGTTCTCATGCTCCTGCCCTATGTGGTCGGGTTACTGAGCAGTGGAGGTGGAGGAGCCAGTGCAGGAAGTGCCTGTTGCTATGCAGTCCCTTTATAGTTGTCACAGACTTTCGTTGATGCTGCATTTGATCATCTGAACAACGGTGTGAGATAGGGAGTCCTTTCCCCACTGTGAAGACCGGACGTGGAGGCCTATGCTGAATGGCATGAGTGTCAGAGCCAGCCTAGGGGCCTGATACCCTGAACTGGCAGCTGCCTCCTTCTGCAGAGAACTTTCCTTGACATCCTACCTGTCTTGCCCCAGAGAAGCAAACAGATGAACATGTTCAGCACCTGTGATTCTTTGTCCAGCATGTGCCACCTTTCTTGTGGGAAGGCACTTGGGTTCCAGGTCCCTGCCCGCTATGGAAGCTGCCACCAGCGCTCAGCTTCCTTTACCCAGGTATGAGCAGCCGTTTCCTGAAGCAGGAGGCCTTTGTCGACGAGGTTGGGGGAGCCAGAAAACCGCAGGCCTCCAGGTTTTCCTAGATTTCCGTTCCCCCAGCCTGCTCCCTGTGACATCCACGCCTGGGGGTGGGGCAGGGAGCAGGGGCTGGAGAGCTGGCTGACATGCCTCCTCCGTATCTGTCTTTCCAGGCTGTTCCCTCTCCCAGGATTTACCTTCCTGCCTGCTCACCCCGTGTCAGCTGTGGGAAAGTGGTGGTCCGTGCAGGGGCTGGTCTTCTGCTCTGAAGACGCTTCTTTAGTAGCCCTGTGGGGGAGGCCCCGGGAGCCTGAAGTTACTTATAGGCAGGAAAAGCCTGGGAAGTGAATCTCTTTCAGGCTTGTTCCTTCAGAACTTTTATTTCATTTCTTAGAAGTTCATCTCAGTCACTGTGAAGCCTTGGTAAGAATAGTCACTGTAACTTTGTGTTAATAACAATTCTCTACCTCCTCTTGCTGTCTTCTGCCTCAGGATACCTCTCTTCACTTCTCCCCTTCCTACAGGGAGGGAGAGGAGCCAGGCCCGGCAATACTGCAGGACGCAGTGCCGGCCAGTGCCGGGTTGACAGTCCCTAACAGGGCCTAGGCAGTCCACAGAGACCCAGCACAGAGCTGGAGCTGCCTCCCCCTCCCCCACAGGATTCTGCCTGGGTTCCCTTCCTGCCCTTGCCTGTTGGGGAGCCAGCAGCCTTTGTGAGTCTCCTTGACAACAGGGTGGAAAAATTAAAAATAACCTTGTGCTGGGCCTTCTGTGCGTGTGAGCGAGTGCCCCCTCTCCTGTTGTGCCCGAGCGCAGCCCCTGTGGCTTCTAGATTAGATGTTCCAGGAGGGCCTCCGTGGGAGCCACGGTGGGACCCAGGTGCTGGCATTTGAAGCCCTGAGATTGGGCGCCAGGCCCACACAATCAGGCAGCATCAGTACCTGGTATTACTGGTGGCTGCTGACGGAGTGCGGGTGTCAGTGGTAGAATAAAGGTGGGAAAGCTGTTCTGAAGGCCGCGTCTTTGCTTATGCGAACTGGAGAGGGGCGATTTTGGAGGCGTTCCTGTGTTTCACAGCCTCTGGGGTGGTAGGACATGGCGCTGAGAAGGAATTTTGTTATATCTCTTCAAGGGATCCCCACAGGTCAGGAGGGCCCCTCCCGGGCCCCCTTTATAAGGTGAGGACAGAGGGGACAGAGGCACTGGGCCACTTGTCCAGAGCCGCCTGGCCTGGCTGCGGCAGTGGGGAGCAGTGCCGTGTCATCAGAGCCGTGGCTCTTTGTCCTGGACCCAGTGACAAGGCCATCTTACAGGCCCTGTGCCAAAGTCAGCTGCCTCTTCTGTAGCAGCAGTCTGCACTAGTTAAGACCCTCTGTTTTGTGGTCCTGTCACGGTTGTAAATTAATTCAGAAATAGCTGTCTCCATGAGGGCAGGGGCTGGGTTTCTCCTTACCACACCTGGAATTAATTTTTCTCTTCCTTCCTCTATCCTTCCAACCATTAATAAGTATTTAGCTGTGTGCCAGGCAAGGGGATATAAATGAGAACAAGATGTCACAGTCTCGTCTTTAGGAAACTTATGGTCTGCCAGGGAGGCAGTTATAAAAAAGTCCCCATTGTGGTCAGTGCTGAGAGGGAGAAGGTTCGAGTGTTAGGACAGCAAAAGGTTAGCGTGCCTGACCTTGCCTGAGGTGAGGGTAAGGGTTAGAGTAGACTGAGAGAATGTATTAGCAACACAAAATACTTAACATGGAGTGCATAAAAACTCCTACAAATCAATAAAAAGGAAGGCAGAAAACTCAGTAGAAAAAACTGGCCAATAATTTGACAAACACTTTACAAAAGAAGATGTCCAAATGGCTAGTGAACATATGAAACAGTGCTCAATTCCCTGTGTTTCTTAGCCATCAGGGAAGTCAGAAGACCTGGGTCAATATGATACATTGGGCCAGACATTTAACTTCCTGGAGCCCCTGTTTCTTATTTGTAAACAGGGCTCTTCCTTCCCTGCCTCCCAGTCTGCTCCCAAGCTTACAGGCATGGGAAATGCTCCTCACGCTATACCAATACTGAGTAGTGTTGTTACTTTGTCTAATTGTAAGTGATCTGATTTCTTCTCCACCTCTCCTCACAGCAACTATTCTGAATTCCCCTAAAAAATAAAAGATCTGAGTAGTGGGATGGTTCCTAGGACTCAGAATGGCCTGCTCTTTGGTACCTTGGATATAGACCTTGTTGCTGACAGGGCTCTGGTCCCCTGTCCTGGCTGGGAGCAGGGTGAGTTCCTGTAGCTGTTTTCTTTGTGGCTGGATCCTGGGGCAGCAGCTCTGCGTGAATAAAACTGCAAGGTCTGTCGCTGCCCAGGGCCTGCTAGCAGGGAAAGGACAGAGCTGCACCAGTCCTGGCTCAGGCATTGACTTGAGTAAACTGTATGGTGTGTCTTCCACACCGACTGTGGCTGACCTCACAGAAGGCCCTTGTGAATCCAGAAGTAATAAATACTCTGGGCTTTTGGCAATGTTGGCATTAACTGGTCCATACGGACAATAGCCCACACACCTGGCCAGCTGCCCCCTAAGAGCTTGGTCAGTGCCACTGGCTCCGCTGGCAGGCTTGGCAATAAGCCCTTGCTAAAAATCTGTCATAGCCTTCCTTTTGTGTTCTTTGGATAAAAGGAGCCGTTTTCTCTCTCTTCTGGATCCATCCTGCCCGGTTGAGCAGATCATGTGTGGTACGTGTGCACTGTCCCAGCAGAGTGTGGGTCACCTTGGCATTGTCAGAACAGGGTCAAGATTGCTATTAGTCCCGTCTGTTCCGTCTCCTGATTATGCCAGGTCTTCAGGCCCCATTTGGAGTCTTTTCCCACAAATCTCCCATGACAGGAATGCACTTCTCAATAGTCTGCTCAGCACTTTTGACCTTTTCCTCTTCTGTGTTTCTGCTGTGCAGGAGTCAGAGCCAGAAGCAAAGTTAGATGGAGAGACTGCGTCGGACAGCGAGAGCCGGGCAGAACCTGCTCCCCCGCCAGCCTCTGCAGATGATACCCCGGAGGTCCTCAACAGAGCCCTTTCCAACTTGTCTTCAAGGTAACCTGGCTTAATGATGTAGGTGCTTGTTGGGGGTCTTGCACGGTGTCCAAGTGCCATGGAAGACCCATGTTTCAAAAAAACAAAACAAAACACACAAATTGTAAGACCCAAAGCATTATACAAGTCAGGCATCCTCAAACTACGGCCCGAGGGGACATTTATCTTGTGTTGAGGGTTGAAGGAGTTAATGTATGTAAAGTCCTCATAAAAGTTCCTTGTGCATATTTGTAGTAGCTGTTGTTACTTACCATTGCTTGTTATCCCCGTAATGATGAAGGGCAGTGCAATGTGGAATCCTACTGCAGGGAAAATGTGAATAGTTTTTTCTTTAGATAGAGTCTAGAAACTATCCAAGTAGATACAGAAGCAGAGGGCACTACCTTTGCCTTGGGGTTTTGTTTTGTGTTGCCTGATACCTCGCTTAAGGTGTATGCTGGGTGTTTTTTTCTGGAGGCCTTGGAGCACCTACTGAGTGTGGTTGTAGGTGAGGCCTTGGCACAGTGGCCCTGCTCCTGCCAGCTTGTGGCTGGTACCTCCGTCAAGGTGAATTTGGAAAGGATTGAGCTCAGGGCCCTCAAATCCCAGGAAGATCCATACCCCTTGAGTTTGTGCTTCAGTTCTTTCTGGGTTCCTAACTGATGTTTTCTTCTTCTTCTACTCTCTGACCTAGATGGAAGAACTGGTGGGTGAGAGGCATCCTGACTTTGGCCATGATTGCATTTTTCTTCATCATCATTTACCTGGGACCAATGGTTTTAATGATAATTGTAAGTACCATTTCTGGCTATTTTACTTTTGCCTTCAGATTTTCCTGTAGGACCAGTTGTTTTAAGTGCCAGGTGTCAGGTTGGTTGTGGGAATTGATGGGGGTCCTCAGAACACTTTTGCCATAGAACATCTAAGTGAGAACAACTTCTCACTTTTCAGTAGCCAAGTGGAGGGTCATTTGCGTAGGCCAGTTGTTTGTGGTTAAGGATATTTCCTCATTTTAAAAATTGACTTTGCCCGGTCGTGGCGGCTCATGCTTGTAATCCTAGCACTCTGGGAGGCCGAGGCAAGAGGATCGCTCAAGGTCAGGAGTTTGAGAGCAGCCTGAGCAAGAGCAAGACCCCATCTCTACTAAAAATAGAAAGAAATTAATTGGCCAACTAAAAATATATAGAAAAAATTAGCTGGGCATGGTGGCGCATGCCTGTAGTCCCAGCTAAGTCGGGAGGCAGAGGCAAGAGGATTGCTTGAGCCCAGGAGTTTGAGGTTGCTTTGAGCTAGGCTGACGCCACAGCATTCTAGCCCTCTGTCTCAGATAGATAGATAGATAGATAGATAGATAGATAGATAGATAGATAGATAGATAGATAGATGATAGATAGATGATAGATAGATGATAGATAGATGATAGATAGATGATAGATAGATAGATAGATAGATAGATAGATAGATAGATAGATAGATAGACAGACAGACAGACAGACAGACTGACTTTATCATTCCAACTGTTGGATTGAACTGTGACCCTGTGACTGTGTCTTTGTGTGGCTCCTGGTTTTGTTTCTTGTTTTCCTGGGTCCTCCCTCATGGGCTTAGACCTTCCATTGAGAAGTCACAGTCCCCAGAGCTGCTTTCTGTCCCCTCCACTGTACAGGCAGGGTCAGGTGACCAACTGCTGAATGCTGACCAAAGCAGTTGGAGCTTTTCAAGTATTATATTCAAAGTCAAAAGGGGAAGGGATTGGTTGAGTCCTGGGAGGTTTTAGGACAAAAAGTTAATCAAAACATCGGGGTGTGTATTTTATTGTGAGTGAGAAATTGCATCTGTGTCTGCAACAGAAAGGGCTGCACTGCGGTGTGGAATGTTATGAGAGAGGGAGGGGAGGCAGCGAGTACAACCACTGTAGGCTTGGTATTTGCCCTAAATATGATGTTTTATCCTGAAGCCTCATGACCTGTTGTTTTCTGTTTCCAAGGATCGTAAGAGTCAGGTGATCAGCCAGGCATGTTGGTGGCTCATGCCTGTAATCCCAGCACTTTGGGAAACTGAGGTGGGAGGATCAGTTGAGCCCAGGAGTTTGAGATCAGCCTGGACAACATAGGAAGACTCCATCTCTTTAAAAAACAAAAAGAATTGGGGAATCACTGTTCCAATTCTTGCGTCCTACAGGTGATGTGTGTTCAGATTAAGTGTTTCCACGAGATAATCACGATTGGCTACAACGTCTACCACTCCTATGACTTGCCCTGGTTCAGGACCCTCAGCTGGTAAGCTCTCTGGCCCCACAGGGATCCTTAACAGGTTGGGATGATGTCTTTTGTGGCAGATACTTACAGTGATGGTGGGTGGGAGGTGGAGTGATGGCCACAGACTTGCACAGCACCTTTGAGACCAGAGTATTTCATAGGTCACACCGTGCGACCGGCCTTAGTTATTAAGAGTCTGGAATCATCCTCAGAAGAAGCCAGATCAGCTGCACTGTGACCGTGTATGTCTCAGTGTTTATTTGGATTCTTCAGATTCCGCACAACGGCCCCCTTTTCTAGATCAGTGTGTTTTTCGTGCGGTAGTAGGCCAGCGTCCCACTTGAGTAGTCTGGGATTGTCAGGTTCTGGTGTTGGTGTTGCTATCTGTGGAACCTGGTTTCCTCATCTCTGAAACAGATGGTTGAGACCTAGTGGTTTCCAGACTATAGTGTAGGAGCCCTAGTTCCTCGGACGTGCCTTGGGTGCCAGAGTGGGCAGGAGTGAGGCTGAATGCACAGGATCTGGGCTCCTCTGAGAAATTCTGCTTTCTTCTTCTCCTTGGACAGGGCTTGGCTGCCTTAAAGCAAAAACAAAATAAAAACCTGCAGTGCAGATGACGTTTGAAACCCCCTCCTGATCTGAAGCTCAGCATTATTGGCCATAGTATTCTCAGGTAGTGACGTTTGAGCAGAGCACTACACAGTGCTGAGAAGACTTGGGGCAAATATGGACCTTCTCCCCCCACTGTGCCAGGGACATAGGGGTTGAGTCCATGACTCAGTGGGCTGGAGAGTAGTGTTTGGTGCCCAACTTGGTCATGCTCAGGGGAGCCGATGTGCCCAGACTTAGGTTGGGGACCTCCTTCCCAAGGTGCTTCCCCATCATGCAGCAGCACATGCTGCCTCCCAGCCTCCAGGTGCACCTGTGATTGCCACCTGGGTTAAGATGTAGGTCTCTTCTGTGGCTGTTCTAAGGCTGGAAAGCAGTGTTTTGAATTTTGTTAAGATGCTCAGGAGGCCTGACCCCTGGCTGTGATCACTTTCCAAAGGAAGTTTCTTCTATGTAACAGAAAATAAGCCCAATATAGGAGTTTTTGAACTTCACAATTTAAAAAAAAATGGGAAAGAGAAGCTCTTTACACTCTTCCCTGTCTCAGGACCCATGTTGAGGGTGTGGAGTGGTGGCTGCATGGCCCATACTTGGAAGCGGCATGGAGGCTGCAAAGGGATGTGAGCCCTGGCTTCCCCTCTCAGGGAAGGCCAGCTGAAGAGAGGATAGTAGTAACAAGGGAGTTAAAGCTAGGGAATGGCTTACCTGTCAGAGCCAGGCTTCAGGGAGGGAGATGCCCTGAAATGAAGCATAAGTGAAATGAGCAAATACTACCTGATATAGAAATAAATTCAAGGAGGCACATACCATGTTAGGTCATGCAAGATTTTATGAAGAAAATGGTATTTGAGCAACGAGTGAAAAAATGGATAAGCAAATAGAATGTTCTAGGCAGGAAAAAGGCAGGAGCAAAGCAGACAGGAGGCAAAGCTGGAATAAACCGTGTTGATAGGAGTGGAGGGATTCCTGTCGGAAAGAGTGGAAATAAGACGGGGGAGGCTGGATGGGGCCATTTTGGAGGGTCTTATGGTTCAAGTGTCTTTCGGTTAGGTATGGAAATGCTACCAAAGGACAAAAACTGAGTCCCTAGCTTGTGATAAATGGAGAGTGTTGAAAGCTGCCACTAGTTTCTAGATAAACTTCTCACCTATAGTGTCACCAGAGAACCATGGTCTGCTTGTCCCTCTGAGAGCTGCCCTGGGTTTCTTGAGGGTGGGGTGATCTACTGCCCCCGTCCTCTTCTCAGGGCTGTCCAACTGCCTCGTTGAAAAGGAGAGGCCACAGTGTTCCCCGTGGCACTGACCTGTCTTCGTTTGCAGGTACTTTCTACTGTGTGTAAACTATTTCTTCTACGGTGAGACAGTGACAGATTACTTCTTCACACTGGTCCAGAGAGAGGAGCCTTTGCGGATTCTCAGTAAATACCACCGCTTCATTTCCTTCACTCTCTATCTAACAGGTATGCATGATTAAGCGGTTCACCATTTCTTGTGCTGTATTATTTTTGTATGTCTATCAAATGGGTGTTGAGGAATTTTTTTGGTTAGTTTCGTGGCATTAACTCTGAGCATGCAGGGGAGCAGAGCTGACAGCTCTGTGTTCTGTTGAGCTGTGGCAGCTCTTTACTAAGAGAAACAGAGTCTGAGGGGCTTGTGCAATTGTGGGGAAGTGCATTCCATGCCACCTGTCCTCGTATTCCAGCTTCTGTTAAGGACAGCACAGCATGATCCTGTCCTGACACTCCTTCTGGCAGAGACTCTGGGAGGGGAGTCGTCTTAGGAGACCCCATCGTCAGGGGAATCATCTTAGGAGACCCCATTGAGAGACATTGCAGCATGGTGGAAATTTGACTGGAATTGGGCTTTAAAAAAACACAGCAGCCTCAGGGGGCTAGGAACTTAATCTTTCTGAGTCTCAGCTCTTTTGTAGTCTAGAGCTAAACCTGCCCAGTTATTGTGAGGATTAAATTAGATATACTAAAACTTCGCAAACACTAAAGTGTTATATTAACATAAACTCAGGTAAGGCCACACACCAATTCTTATACTGCTAATGGTCTTCACAGTTGCCTTCAAAGCCAGTTTGAGGCACATGAGAAATTTGTTCTGATCTCAATTTCTGTCTGATTTGTTTTTGATCATCCTGATAACAAGTTTTTGAACAGCCTTATAGTTCTGTGAATGACATCTGGCTATTAAAATATAAAGACTTACTGCCATGGGGTCTGATGCTGTTGAGGATATTCAGAAAGCATGCCTTAGACCCTAAAAGCAGCCACCCACGGGAGGGGGTCAGGGGTCTGGAACAGTGACACACTCATTTCTGGCAGGACTGTGTTCATGGGGCCTACCTATCACACTTATGAGTAAAGTTTCCTTTCCTTCCTGGAGAAGAAGGCTGCAGACATTTTTTGCGACCATCTAGGTCATTGTGAGACAGATGCAAGGGTGATCTTGACCCTATACCAAGTGGATCCCTCCTCCCCTAACCCTATTCTCTAGGACAGGAGTTGGCAAACTTTAACTTTCCCTTTCCCTTTCCCTTCCTTCTCTCCTTTTCTTTCTTTCTCTCTCTCAACTGGACTAGAGTACAGTGGTGGCATCATCATAGCTAACTCCTGGGCTTAAGTGATCCTCCTGCCTCAGCCTCCCAAGTAGCTGGGACTATAGGCGTGTACCACTATGCCCGGCTAACTTTTCTATTTTATTTTGTAGAAGAAAGGGTCTCACTATGTTGCCCAGGCACATCTTGAACTCCTGGCCTCAACAGATCCTCCTGTCTTGGCCTCTCAAAATGCTAAGATTATAGGCGTGAACCACTGTGCTCAGCCTGGCAAACTTTTTCTTGAAGTTCCAGTTAGTAAATGTTTTAGGCATTGGGGGCCATAAGGTCTCTGTTGCAACAACAGTTGTGCATCACTTAATGATGGGGATATGTTCTAAGAAATGCATCATTAGTTAATTTTGTTGTAGAAACAGCATAGAGTGTACTTACACAAACCTAGATGGTATAGTCTACTACACACTTCAGCTATATGGTATTGCCTCTTGCTACTAGTCTACAAACCTGTACAGCATGTCACTGTACTAAATACTCTAGGCAATTATAACACAATGGTATTTGTATATCTAAACATAGAAAAGGTTCAGTAAAAATATGATATTATAATCTTATGGACCACCATCACATATGTAGTCTATTATTGATCAAAATGTTGTTATTTGGTACATGACTGTACACAGTTCTGCCATTGTAGCTCAAAAGTAGCTATAGACAATATGTAAACAAATGAGCATGACTGGGTTCCAATAAAACTTTATATATAAAAACAGGCTACTTTCCTGTCCATTGTTTACTGGTCCCTGCTCTAGGAACAAAACATTCCTATCTCATGAACCATGGTCCTGAATTGAGTGTAGTCTGCAAAATTATAACATATTGCCTTCCTTTTATTATCTTGAAGGAGTTATTTTTTCCTTATGACTGTTTCTCTAGATAACTAGTTTTCCTCCCCTGGGCTTTGCAATTGTGTACCAGTTAGCTGCTGGGAAAAAATTAGCCAAAGAACCACTTAACACAGCTAAAGGAAATGACTAGGACAAAGATAAATGTGCATGCAATTCCTTTTGTCCTTTCTCCTCTCTCTCTTTAAACTAGGATTCTGCATGTTTGTACTGAGTCTGGTCAAGAAGCATTATCGACTGCAGTTCTACATGGTAAGGGAAACGCATATGTGTGCATGTGAGAATTCTTGGTTTAAAGGAAGTTCTGCAGAAACTCAACATGCTTTCATGCTTTTTGTAATAAATCAAAACTCTGGAACGCAGTCTGTTCTGTGTGCATGCAGGACCCAGAGCATGAAGGAAGAGTGCCCGTTTAGGTTTGTCAGCTCTACACCGACCTAGAGCCAGTCGCTGTTACTTAACTTATGGCATAGGCAGTCTCCCCACTGGGGCCCTGAAGGTGGGCTCCAGGTAAGGCTCAAGGGGAAGCTTCAGACACTGCCCACAGATAGCCCATCTGGTACATCATGTGCTATCAATCATTCCCTGCCTCATCTTGAGAACACCTCCTCTCTGTGTGCCCCAGGCACCCAATAAATACTAAGAAGGTGAAGAGTACCCAGGCTCTCAGAGCAGGAAGGGCTCACTCACTAGGTGAGGACTCTTAGCTGGGGTGGGGGAGCCCACACAATGTCACTCCCAGAGGCCTGTTCTGTACCTTTTCACTTCCAATAAGCCAGGTACAAAAGCAGATATTCTTCCTTCCTGTTTCTCATTGATTTTCTATTTGATATTGATTGGTCTTTGAAGTTACTTTCAAGGTAAACTGGTAGGTAGAGTTTATTTTTCTTCTTTTGCAGTTTGGCTGGACCCACGTAACGTTGCTGATTGTTGTAACCCAGTCACATCTCGTTATCCACAACCTCTTTGAAGGAATGATCTGGTGAGTGATGTCGGGGGCAAAGGAGATTTTCCCCTTTATTTTGTGGCTGTTTCTCATGAACAGGAAGGCTGGGAGCCCCTGCCTTACCTTCTAAGCCAGTGGTTCTCGGCTTGAACCACATTAAGGACCCCCTGTAGCGCTAGTTACAGATCACTGGATCCTAGCCCTGAATTTCTGATTTAGTAGATCTGGGGTAGGGCCTGAGAACTTGAATTTCTAGTACATTCCCAGGTGATGCTGCTGCTGCTGCTGCTGCTGCTGGACAGAACCCACACACAGAACCACTGTTCTAGACAGCTACAGGGATATTTAAAGACTCAAAGACAATGAAACATGTATGGCAACAAATTTGAAAACTTAGAGGAAATATTCATGATTTCTTGGCACAATGTATACTGAAAGTCATGAAGAAGGAAACTTGAATAGATCAATAAGTATAAAAGACTTTTGAAAATTATGTAGGATTCCACACCTGGAAAAAGAAACAGAACCAGATGTGTTAACAGCCGAGTTTTATCTAATCTTTATACCAAAGCTGATGAGGAGGGATAAACAAGAATGATAAGCCTGTTTTTTTATGATTATAGATAAACCATTCTAAATATTAGCAAATAGAATCTGACAATGTGTCAAAAGAAAAATATGCTAGTAGTTAGTAGATTTTATTCCAGAAATGCAGTGGTTTCAACAGGAAATCTGTCGGCATTGATAGAAATCAGCAGGCCAATTAAAGACACTGGATGGTCTTAGCGAGAAGGGAAAGGCATACCCCGGTGTATATGAGAGAGAGAAAGGTTCTTAAATACTGGGGTTAAGATCCGGATTGTGCCTTTGCTTCCAGATCTCAGAGTTAGGATACAGCAATCCTCACCTCCTGAGGAATAGATTAGTAAATGTATGTAAAGTGCTTAGAACCGGGGACAAGCTTACATTAGCCTGAGGCATTATTACGTTTAAAACAATTAAGATGGCCTGGGGAGGCAAGTAACTCCTCTTCCAGTATTTTTTTTTTTTTAAGGTATTTCTTAAGAGTGGCACCTGCTAAGTTCTCATCTTCAGGGCCAGACGTACCACTTAGTGCTACAGTGAATAATATTAAAATCTCCATAATTGTTGGTTTTCAGACTCAACCTAGAAGACTTAATTATAGTCACAGAGCAGAGACTATGTGCCAGAGGCCTTGACAAAGTAAATCATGTGGTGGGAGCTGGGAGGCAAATGGAGTAAGGAGGGTTCCGATGCTCTCACTCTCTCCCTTAACAAACAGGAAGTCAGAAAATACTGCAGTTGATAGGCCAGGAAATAGAGGTGTATGTATATAGTACTAGGCTAAACTGTAACAGAAGAATTAGAGAGTGAGGAGAGGATAGGGATGGTGCAAGTGTGGAAACCACCCCTCTCTTGTGGCAGGGAAGGGGCAGTCAAGAAATCTAGCTGTCAAGGTTTTGTTCTCACTGTTGTCCTAGGGAAGGGTAGGGCTCACAAGAGCTGGTAATAAGCAGTAAAAAGGTAAGTAAAGTAGGAAATAGACATATAATATATTATTTAGAGTTGTGGAGGTAACTACTAGAAGAAGAAAAATTAGAAATGATTAAAAGTGGTTGTTTTGGGGAAGAGAGATAGGGATGGGGGAAGGAAGGAAAACTTATTTTTTAATTTCTTGTACAATTTGAATTTATATTGTGTATATACATATATTACTTTATCATGACAAAAGAACCAGTGACATTTTATAGAATGCCTCAGTAGTCATTCAGTAAACATTTGAATATGCCAGGTACTAGGCATGGCTTTTTGGTATTTTCTTTCTTTTTAACTTATTCCTTAACGGGTGACAAATGTAGTAATTTATGTGTTGTTTTGGTACCGGCATTTATGAGTGGCATTATTTTGCAGACTTCTGGGGCACTATCATCTTGGTAGACTTGATTTTTACTTTGGTTTCTTTCCCAGGTTCATTGTCCCCATTTCTTGTGTGATCTGTAATGACATCATGGCCTATATGTTTGGCTTTTTCTTTGGTCGGACTCCACTCATCAAGGTAGATGGGTTATCCTAATATGAAATATCACTGTGAGGGGAGGGTGGTGCTTTTGGTATGAGCAGATCAGCTGGGCACAGAGAGGAAATCTAGCTGTGTGTATTGTGGCCATGTCTTCATGTCATCCTGGTTATTCACTGATTTCTAAGACAAAGGCCAAAGGAAAACATTGAAAATTCATTTAAACAAAAAGAGAGCTAATACAATATTTTTACGAGCTATATTGGCATACTTTTGGGACTTTTATCTGGATTTGAGTATTGTCATTTAGTCTATAGTCTGTAGTTTTTATAATAAAAATATTTGAATGACTGAAACAGAAAGGAGACCAAAAGAAGGGTATGAGGTAGGGAACAAAGAAACTGTATTTGGGGGAATTTTAGAAGGTGACACGGTTAACAGGATGGGGGTTTTAGGATAGAAAGGTTTTTAACAAGTAATCATGGTTCCCAAAGCTGGAGTTATTGAAACACCCGTTGCTAAGAACTTGTTCTTTGTCCACAGCTCTCCCCGAAGAAGACCTGGGAAGGCTTCATTGGGGGCTTTTTTGCCACTGTGGTGTTTGGCCTTCTGGTAGGTGGTGGCTCCTGGCTGGCTGGGAGGGTGGGAGTTGGGGGAGTAGACACAGGCCTCACACTACCTTCCAAGACCTGTGTAGAGCTAAAGAGTGTGTCCCGAGGCCAGGGCCTCCATCCTGCTGAAAATGCTGACCCTGCCTGAGTAAAGGCAGCCACCAGCTGTCCTTTACTCATTAGTTTTCAACCAGGGTTTGGCAGCTGGAGAGCAGGGCTGTGTGCACCTTGCACATCCTCTTATGCCCAGGCATGGCGGTGTTCTTGTCCGACATCTAATGTTCCAAGGTCAGGGCAAGGGCGCCGAGAGTGAGGGGTGAGGTGAGATGTGCCACCCCAGCCCAGATCTTCTCCTGTGTGTGCCCTGGCCTGAGACGGGTGACCTTCCTGCCCTTTCGAGAGCACCAGTTCCTGCTCAGGCCCTCGGCCAGTCTCCCGTCTTCAGTGCTGTCTGGCTGCCCCTCGGTGCTCCCCCACAGCCTGCCCCCCAGCACTGTTGCTCTCTAGCCGCCTTCTTCCTGGTGCCTGCCTCTTGCTGCACCACTCCCGTGGCCTGTCTCTGGATATCTCCAAGTTAAGAGAAATGAGGGAAGTGTACCATAGCTCTCCAGATGGGAGGATCTTCTTGTAGTTTTTTTTTTTTTTTTATGTTTGCTTTTGTTTTTGAAACCCAGTTTCATTCTGTTGCCCAGGCTACAGTGTAGTGGCGTCATCATTCATAGCTCACAGCAACCTCAAACTGCTGGGCTCAAGCAATCCTCCTGCCTCAGCCTCCCAAATAGTTGGGACTATCACACTCTGCTAATTTTTGTATTTTTTAAAAAAAATTTGTAGGGATGGGATCTCATTATGTTGCTCAGGCTGGTCTCCTGGCCTAAAGTGATCCTCTCACCTGGGTCTCCCAAAATACTGGGATTATAGCTGTGAGCCACCATACCCGGCCCTTGTTGTAGTTCTTTGCTCAAATTCATTCAGGTCTTTCCTGGATTCTTTCAAAGCCTGGATGTTTGTGCACCTCTGTGTGAGATCTTAGTGGACAGTGAGCTTTGTTAAAAAAAATTCAGGTAAAATACATGTGTGGTGAAACATGAACCTCCGATTCCGCACAAAGTTCGCAGTTAGTGGGGTGCCAGGCACTGTGAGGAACGTGGCCAAACTGCCATCCAGGCTGGATGGTTGGAACTTGTCTCCTTGCCTGTGTGCTCTTCCTCCTCAGCTGTCCTATGTGATGTCCGGGTACAGATGCTTCGTCTGCCCTGTGGAGTACAACAACGACACCAACAGCTTCACTGTGGACTGTGAGCCCTCGGACCTGTTTCGCCTGCAGGAGTATAACATTCCTGGGGTGATCCAGTCTGTCATTGGCTGGGTACGTGCCACTCACATGGGGCGAACGGCCTTTGGGCCTTGGCTGAACAGTGACTACAAAGAGAGAGTCCCCTCCACCACCACCCGCTGTCCTCAAAAGCTAGCTTCCTCCCTCCCAAAGCTCTCAGCCCCAGGATGAAGGAGAATTGCGCAAGCCAGGGCAGAAGACCTCCCCCCCCTCACTTCAGATCATGTAGACCAGTGATTCTCAAAGAGTGTTCTGTGGATCCCTGGATGACCCTGAGATCCTTCTTAGTGTGGGTTCTGGGAGGTCACAACTATTAATATTTTCATCATTAGACCATGACATTATATGCCTTTTTTAACGTGTTGACATTTGCTGTGATGTGGTACAAAAGCAGTGGTGCTTAAAACTGCTGGTGCCCTCACATGAGTTAAGGCAGTGGTTTCTTTAGGCCACATGCTTGTAGTACAGACAGGCCCATTGCTCTCATAAATGTCTTTGAAATAGTAAAATTATTATTCAATCTTGACTCTTCTTGCACACACACTTTTTTAATACTCTGTCTACTGAAATGGAACATATGTGTAAAATGTTTCCACTAAATACTGAAGTATACTGCTTGCCTACAGGGAAAGCATGTTATGCATGCAGTTGTCTGAGTTGTGAGCCAAATCAGCTATTTTTTTCTAGGAATATAATTTTTACTTGAAAAGAACTGACAAATTACAGTTTTTTCAGACTTGAGAATTTGGCAGACATTTTTCTTGAAAAGAATGCAGTGAGTGTGTCACTTTAAGGAAAATGACATAATTGTTACCAATGATAAAATTTGGCTCTCAAGTGAAAATTTGAATTTAGGAAGGCATGACCTGCCACTGTGAGCTTGACAGCTTCCTGATTCTTAAAGGCTTTTCTGATGAGATCTGTGGTGATTTTAACATATGTTAAATTTTTTTTACTTTTTTTTTGTTTTTTGCTTTTTATATTAATTAATTAAGAGACAGGGTCTTGTTCCATTGCCAGGCTGGAGTGCAGTGGCCTGATCATAGCTCACTATAACCTCAAACTCCTGGGCTCAGGCGATCCTCCTGCCTCTGCCTCCCAAGTAGCTGGGACTACAGGCACACACAACCACACCTAGCTAATTTTTTTATTTTTTGTGGAGATGGGGTCTTGCTTTATTGCCCATGCTGGTCTCAAACTCTTGGGCTAAAGTGATCTTCCTGCCTCAGCATCCCAGAGTGCTGGTATTACAGGTGAAAGCCACTGTGCCCAGCCAACATGTGATATTTTAATATTATATGATGAAATGTGTCTACATTTGGAAGATTTATATAACTCAGTGAACTAGCATTTTCTTTTCTTTCTTTTTTTTTTTTTTTTTTGAGATGATGTCTTACTTTGTCACCTGGGCTTGAGTGCCATGGCGTTACCGTAGCTCACAGCAACCTCAAACTCCTGGGCTCAAGAGATTCTCCTGCCTCAGTCTCCAAGTAGCTGAGATTACAGGCGTGTGCCACGATGCCCGGCTAATTTTTCTATTTTTAGTAAAGATGGGATCTTGCTCAGGCTGATCTCAAACTCCTGACCTCAAGCGATCCTCGTGCCTCGGTCTCCCAGAATGCTAGGATTATAGGCAAGAGCCACCATGCCCAGTGAGAACCAGTATTTTCTAAATGGCCAATGCATGGTGTTATACAGTCATGCATGGGTAAAAGAACCATTTAAAGTGCAAGATAGGCCAATGGGTTTTAATGTAAAAGAGTATAAAAAGTTCTTCAATAGGATTTCAGATTGCACATTGTACCTAACGTTGAAGAAATGACTACTTGTCATGTTCTGGCATGGTGTCGAAGAATACCCACAATTATCTGAGAAGACTACTAAAATACTCTTCCTTTTTTCAACTACATATTTGTAAGACTGAATTTTCTTCACATATTTCCACCAAAACAACATATTGCAATAGATTAAATACAGAATATCTTAATGTCTTCCATTAAGCTAGGTGTTAGAGATTTACAGAAATAAGGGGAAAATCCATTCCTCTTACTGATTAAAAAAATATATAATTAGTTTCATAAAGAGTTATTTCTGGTGACTTGTAATAAGGCTTGGCCCATTAGTATTGATATAACGGAACACTTGAGGCTGGGTAATCATAAAGTAAAGAGGGGTATTTAGCTCACCGATCTGCAAACTGGGAAGTACAAGAAGCATGGTGCTGGCTTCTGCCTGGCTTCTGGTGAGAGCTTTTTGTACTTGGTCATAGCATAGTGGAGAAGGTCACAGGGGAAGCAGGCAGTGCAAAGAGGCAAAACCCAAGGGGCAGCCTCGCTTTATAACAATCCACTCTCGGGGACATTCCCTTGAGAACTCATCCAGTCTCGAGAGTGAGGACTCACTACCTCTGGAAAGGCATTAACCATTCCTGAGGGATTTGCCCTCATAACCCACACCACCACCAGGCCCCACCTCCTGGCACCACTACACCGGGGTTCAGATTTCAGCGTGAGTTTTGGTGGGGACAACTCACATCACAGCACTGGGCTTGTGCATACATTTACTTTTACTTTGCTCGTTCTCCACAGAAAACGGTCAGGATGTACCCCTTCCAGATTCACAGCGTCGCCCTTTCCACCTTCGCCTCGCTCATCGGCCCCTTTGGAGGGTTCTTCGCAAGTGGATTCAAACGAGCCTTTAAAATCAAAGTAGGAAAGCCCTTCTGTCTGTCCTCTCACCTTGCTCCCTCCTCGCCCAGCTCTGCCTGTCTCCCCCTGCCCTACCCTGTCAGTCACCACTTCTTCAGAATGCCAGGCTGTACACCCTGGTGACTAATGTGTGCTCCTCTTGACCCATGTGCTAAAGTTAGTGGGTTCAATAAAAATATGTTTCTTTGCAAAAAAACACAATAGTTGATTTTCAGTTTATTTGTTAATATATCTTTCTTCAAAATAATATTTTTTAATTTAAGAAAATTATGTCCTAAGATAGCCTCAGCTCTAGATTTAATACTTTTCACTTTCTGTTGCCCTCGGTTACTCAGGACAGTTGCTGGACATTGGGGTGGGACCTTTAGGCTGGCTTTGGTCATTGGCTGAGCCCAGGCTCATCTGTCTCTCCCCTGCCTCTACCAGGACTTTGCCAATACCATTCCTGGCCACGGAGGCATCATGGATCGCTTTGACTGCCAGTATCTGATGGCCACCTTTGTCAATGTGTACATCGCCAGTTTTATCAGGTATACACTTTTCCATGTTGGTGGATTTTTAAGTATGGTGCAATCCTAGAATTTTAGCTACATCAAAGTTCCAGGGAAAAGCATCCCAAATGTGAATGTAGTTTTCATTTTTTTCATTTTTTACTGCTTGTGAGTTTTTGGAAACCTCCTCCCACCCTCCGTTAGTAGAGAATCCAGAGATCAGGGCAGCCACTTGGATAATCAGGCCTTAGAAGCTTCTAGGTCCCAGCTCAGTGCTGTTATTTCACGTTCCGTTCCAGGGGCCCTAATCCAAGCAAACTGATTCAGCAGTTCCTGACCTTGAGGCCAGACCAGCAGCTCCACATCTTCAACACGCTCCGGTCTCACCTCATTGACAAGGGGATGCTGACAGCTGCCACGGAGGACGAGTAGGGGCCACCCAGGGCCGGGAGAGCAGGAGCAGGACTGAGCGAGGGGCAGGTCTCCAAGGCACGCCCTGCTGGTGTGACTCAGACTATGAAAAGGCTTCAACTCACTATCTTTCTTTCTTTCTTTCTTCTTTTTTTTTTTTTTTTTGGTAGGGTATTTTTTATTTGTGGATTCAAAAAAATCTGTATATATAGTCTATGATTTAGGTTGTGAGTAAGCTATAGCTTTGAGTTGGAAAGAAGTCATGGGGGTAAAAACTGTTTGAGTTTTTTAAACAAACAAAAGTATTTAATAATCCAGAAGACAGTGTTGCTCAGCTCAGGAGTGTGTCTACTTGGTGGTTCTAGCCCCCATCAGTTGAACTGTTTCTGGGCTCAGACAAACACAGACATGCATCTGTGTCTGACCAGTTCAGGGGGCTTCCTTACCTGTGTCGGGGGGCACGGCTTGGATGTCTTTGCTGTACTGGAGAGCTCTCACCTGGTCGTTTCCAGCAATCCCTGCTTGGAACCACTGGTGGTTGCCTTCTGTGGGCCGGAAGGATGGATGCGTATTAAGAGAGAAGCATTCCGTCCACACGGAAATCCTGCCAAGTGTCAAGAAGCTCTGCTTCAGAGTGTGGTTTTACCTTACTTCATCACAGACTGAAAGAAAGTTTCAGTTTTTATTTTTTTTTTTTCAGAAAGCACGAGAAATTATTTATAATAGTCTGGAGAAAAAAACACACTGTACTATTTCAAGTGTATGCAGTAGAATGTACTGTAACTGAGCCCTTTCCCACGTGTTTTCGGCCCGAGTGTCTCCTGCAGGGCAGTCCAGCTAACTGTGTCTTTTTCAGGGACGCTGCCATCACGTTTGTGCTGTACACCTGCTGGATCCTTCCTGGGGCTTTCCCATCAGGCAGGGAGCGGGGGGCTTCTCACTCGTGCACCCTTTGCCTGAACACCCATGTAGCTGCTGTGTTGTGTATATTTTCCTCCTAAGGGTGGATATATATATATATCTGTTTGTTTTAAAAAGTCACTTATGTCTTACAGTGATTTTCCTTGCACCATGACTTTTCACTGAAACCACAAAGTCCTGCTTAAAACTATGGAAAACCTAACCTGATTAGAGGCTTGACTATTTTGAAGATTAAATGCACACTTTTTATATATATAATGTGACCAGTTGAAATGTATTTTGTATTTGACTGGGGTACCTTTTGTTGTTGTTATTTGCTAAACTGTGATTTATTTTTTTCCCTCCCTAATTACAAAGGTGGGGGTGACTTGGGGAAGACAGCAGTGGAGGGTGGGAGAGAGAATTTGCTGCCCAAATGTGTTAAATTATTCTGTGCCATGGTTGCTTTCACTTTCAACGAGGGTGTAATGACTTGCTTCAGCACTTCGGTCTAGTGGTGGTTTGTGTTGTCTCTGCTTGTAAATTAGCCTTACTGCCTCCCTCAAAGCTCATGGTCAACGCAGGTCTCTGGGGTAGAGAACAGAGCCCTCAAAACAGAGAACAGAGCCCTCAAAATGTTTCGGTTCACGTGTCACTGTGTGACCTCCCACACGTGTGCAGGGCTGAAGCGGCTTCTTTCCTTTGAACTTTCACTGCATCTCAGCTTCCTGCCTTTTCTTGTCCAGGCCCAAGGCCTTCTTAAAAACAAAACACACGTGACCCCGGGCAGGCTGCATTGCTCTCAGGGGACTCATTTTCCGTGCTGTCTTCCCAAGTTCTCTATTCTGCAACTCTGGCTGAGCAAGTTCACATCACCAGAGGCTCCTGTGGGTATTGAGTGATGTCCTGTGTACCCAAAAAGGAAGTGCTTTCAGGCCTTTTTTAAATGCTTGTCCTCAAGATGAGTCAGTATCTCAGCAACAAATCTGAAGCAGTGATGGTGATCAGTAATGGGACTGTAGTTTCCAGATTGGAGAGTGAACCTGGATCACCGAACCAGATACGGAAGGGCGCCCGTGTGTCTCTTGTGTCCCTTTGTGGGTTTGTGTGGGGTCCTTGGGAACAGGGAGTGTCACTGGGGTTCAGCAGTGGAGACTGCCTCCAGTGGGGCTGCCTTAGGGATCGGGAGCCTGGCAGCAGCAGGCAAAGTCGCGGTCCTTTGTGGACGCGGTCACTGAGGGGTCCCGGGAAGCAGGAGCTGGACGCTCTGCCGGCAGGAAGGCCAGAGGGTTCGCCTGGCCTTTATTTTCTTCCTATTTCCCCACGTGCTTTCCCGGAAAGAGGAATTTCCCTGTCAAGTAGCCAGAAGAGCAACGCCACCTTGTGTCTGTAGAGCGCAGCGTTTCTCTTCCTCCTGATGTTTACAGACAAGATTCAAAAGGCTGTTTTAACATACACCCGTGCAGATCTTCATGAATGGCATTGCTCGCTTTAGACCCATTTTTTGGGAGGGGGGTCAGAAATAAAATGTGACTGAAACTGTGTGCCCCTCCTAGTGTGAATTCACTGTTTATCTCTTCCACGCATGGTTTTGTGTTTCTCACGTGTTTATGTATTCATCAATGTTTTGCAGTTCCGTTTTAGAGATTTTTGTTTTGTTCTCCAGTTTGTGTCCCCTGCATTCTCACAACAGCCTTCTGAGGTGCCTCGGGTGAGAGTCATGAGCACCTGGACGGTGTGACAGAGCTTCCCGGGGTGGCGTTGGATGCGCTTTGTGCACAGGGCTAGCCCTGCTTGCCTTGTGGACGTGGCTTGAGCGCGCCTGGGATGTTGCAGCTTTCCTTCCCTCAAGCTCACCAGGCCTGGCCTGAGCCAGGTGGAGCTTAAATTGCTCTTAGCTCGTAACTGGTGAAGTAAGGAGTTGATGATGGAAGGGCTCACAGAAACCAGCGCTGACTCGAAATGCGAGCCTGGTGTCCTGACCCATGAGTTGTGCTCATGACAGCTCACGGGGTGCCGGGTCTCGCCCTGTGTGTGTTCGCATGCCGCCCTCTGAACTGCGTTCAGCATCGAGACAGTGCACATTTGTGTTTTACTCCTGAAAGTGAAACCCTCTAAGGCAGCCTGGGCCTTAGGTATGTTTATTAGTATTTTTTCCTTTGCCCATCTGCTTATGTATTGTCTGTATGTTAATTATTTTTGCCTGCTTCATATTCTGAGCATTTTGGTAGCTACAGTATTAACCTTTTAATATGTATCTACTCTTAGTATTGTACACTCTGTAATGTATAACTAGTCTCACATCCATTGAAAATAGTCTCTTTTCATAGGGGCGAAATATAACTTTTAACCTATTATACAGGTGGACTTTGAAACCATTTTTATGGAATTAATTTTTTCCCACTGGGCTTTTAACCTGTAACTTGACCTATATTATGCAAGAAAATCCCAAAACTGCTTTAAGGGAGACACTCCACAGACACTGTGATTTGAGTTTAAGCTAGTTGTTGAGTTGGCCGGAGCCTGATTCGAATGGACTGTTGAGTTGAGATCCTCGCACTGTCAGCGAGCCCCTGGCAGGCTCAGGTCCAGCCCGCTGTTGACAGATCTGGGTAGGGGGAGGATGTGAATGGCTCAGGGCAAAAGTCAGCCTTGCTGGGGAGAACCGTTCAGCAGTGGCCTTGTTCCTTACGAAGCCAGCCCTAGGTGGATTTCTGAGGGAGTAGGTTTTCAGGGCTCTACTAAAGGTGGTGCATCACCGCTGGGACACCGCCCTATGTTAGTAATATCTTAGGCACTGTTCTCTTTCATCTTTCAAGCAGCTTACATCCGGGCCCACGTTTTTTGTGCACTGATAATGTGCCAAGAAGAGGGTGGAGTGGGGTGTGGGAGGGACGATTTCACTTGGACCCAGGTTCCTGTTCTTCTGAGGGCATGGTCGGGAGGAAAGGCTAGGGGAAGAGTGTCCAGGCGACCGTTGTGGACACGTTGCAAGACGGTACGCTGTGGGCGGACTCGCACGTGTGCGTGTCTGGAGCTCAGGGCTCCAAAGGGCAGCTGGAACAAACTGTCAGCTCCTGAACACAGGGACTGATACTCACACGGAGCCTCACGGTCTTCCTCGTCTTGGCCAAAACAATCTTCCTTTCTTTTTATCACCCTTCACACGGCTGCCCAGCTTCCGCTTCTTAAAGAGTTAACAGTTCCCACTTTCTGACTTAGTTCCCCTTGTAGGGTAGGGCCTTGTGGCACAGCCTGCATGGGTTGCGGGGGGTTGGACCAGGCCGTGACGAGGGATTCTTATTATTCCAGGGCTCTGCCTGGCCCACCTCCTCTTGGGCCTGGACTTTTCCCTCCCACACCCCCTGGGTGGGCCCCATTCTCAGGAAGAGTCCCAGCTGCTATTTCCAGTCCAGGTTGACCAGCATGGCCTTGCTCACCTGGCTCTCAGTTGGATGGAGGCTGTGCTTCTCACCTGGGGCTGTCTCTTGATCGAGGCTCACACCTGTTTGTATGGGGACCATTCCAAGGCGCAGAGCTCTCCACTTTGAGGGCAGTTTAGGAGGTATACTTTGGATGCTGAAGTGTTGGGTTTTTTAGGGCCTGTGGATGATTTATGAGACTAGAGAGGCAGAACATGTGCAGTCTAGGGTTTTATGGCCAGTGGGTTTCAAATCTGTTGGCAGTTTGAAGACTCCTCTCCACTTCTCTACCAAAGGCCTGTCTACTGAGGTTCCTTCTCTTTTTATTCTTGAGCCAGTGAGATATCACCAGTGTGTTTATTAGGGATTACAATATAGTGCTTAATATGTGCCAGGCACAATGCTAAGGGTTTACATACATTATCCCATTTAATCCAGAAAACAACCTTTGATTGGGTATTATTATCCTATTTTATAGATCAGGAAACTGAGTGTGACTGAGGTTGAGAGCAGTGGTTAAGAAGATAGACTTCAGGCTCAAAATGCCTAGTTCTGAGCAGGTTACTCAGGCTGCTGTAAGCTTCCACCTCCAACCCAGTTGAGTCTGATAATAGTACCTTCTCTATGGGGAGGTTGTGAAGATTTAATGAGATAATGCATGTAAGCATTTAGCACAGTGCCTGGCACATAGTAAGCGCTCAATAAATGCTAGTTCCTTTTCTTGATCTTTGCTAGTCGTTTGACCCACGTTGATGTAATGCCAGAGACTGGGTTCTCAGTCACAACACTGCCACTGCCCTGCACACAGCCCAGGTCCTTCTGAGAGAAGCAGTCCAACCGTATCACCCCCTACAGCATCTTGGTGTGTCATGTGTCATTAAGAAGGCCAGCCTGACAAAAGGAAAGAGGCTGTGAGGGTGTTCTGTTCTTCATGGGAAGGGTCGGCCTGAGAATCTTGCCCACCCCCCGTGCCTGTGGTCTGGACTGTGCGGGGAGGAGGCCGTTTCCTTGCCTGCTGGTGTGTCCACTCTGGGCAGTGAAGGCCTGTCTGTGACTTGCTGTGGATGCCGCTTTCCCCTCTGGCCAAGGGCTGCACCCTGTACACACAGTTCAGGAACCTGCAGCAGTTGTTTGTACATTTTCAGGGGCCAAGAAGAGTAGGGAAAACAGAAACCTGCTGTGTAGGAGGCTGTACAGACTAAAAGCCTAAAAGTCTTGCCCACCCCTGTACAACGCAGCCAACCTGGGGCCTCGTGTTTCGTTCTTTCTGAAAAGTATGAACAGGATAGGAGTGGGTGACCCGTTGAGGACAGACGGCGTGGGGTGTTTCTGTCGGATTTTGGGTTAGCAAAGGATCAAGTGGGTGATTCATGAGTGGAGGGAGAACAGGCACAGGACTAGGTGATAAAAAGTTCCTTTAATTTCATTTTCTGAACCAGAGATCAGGGAAATTGGGGAGGGAGGGTGTGCAAGGCAGAGGCTTCCTCACTTTGAAGGAATAGTACCGGCTAACAAGACCCATGGAATAACAGTGTAGAACTACTGGCTTGACTGTGGATTATTTCCTAGGTGTTAGTGGGACCCAACAGCCTATTGCTAGCATTTAAATAACAGTCTCTGTCCTTCCGTTAATTAATGAAGTAATGGTAATGCCACGAAGCAGGACAAGATGGTGGTGGGGTTTTAGCAAGCAGCCGCTGTGAAGGGCTGATCCTGGGCTTGCCCCTGAGGGTCCCCTTGCTCTTCTGGGCTCGAGTTTGCCAGGCCTGATGCTTCCTCCCTCATTGTGCCATCGAATGGACCCAGGGCAGCCTTTTGTCCACACAAAGTCTGCACTGGAGGTGAGGGACCTCTGGACATCGAGCTGCAGATGCCCCTGCAGTGGTCACCCAAGGCGCTGGCAGGGCCAGCTCTTTGCAGCCCCCAGAGGACTTTCTCTGCATAAAGCGCTCAGAAGGTTTAGCCACCTGGTGATTCCGTCCCAAGTGAAATCATGTTTGCTGATATATCACCCACATAGCTGTCCCTGTCCTCGGCTACTGGGATGCTTTCTGTCACTTGCATTAGGTTCTGGTGCTGGTTTTGCTGGCTTTTCTGAAAGGAACATCAGAACAGAAGAGGGCTTAAGAATGTTTTCTAGTAGCAGAATGTGCCGACGTGTTTTTATAAGAGTGTTCTTTGTGTGCTGTGTCTTCTAAATCCTCTATACACAGAGCACCATGGGCCTTTAGCAAATCCTGTATTTCTGTGTTGCTGGGCGCCTGGGGGCTGATGATGAAGGGAAAGAGCTGAACAGACATCAGGGCCAATGAAACCAAAGGACTTTGGAGCCAAGAGACTAATTCAGGGATTGGGAGGCAGCGGTTTATTGTCCTCCAGCCAGAGAACCCCTGAAAACCTGTAGGGGCAGCAGCAGGGGGAACACAGGGGCGAGGAGGGGGCCAGGAGGGGGCCAGGAGTCTGCTACTGGGGGCTGGCTCTAACAGAGGCAGCCTAGCGAATGCTCACGTGGGTGTTGGGACCAGAAAACTGAGCTCAGAATACCCATGCGGGGAAGTTTGAAGCTCATGGATTATCCTCTGGAGTTGGTACTGATTCCAAGTTTTAATTTTTATTGCTGTTCAATACCTTCTAAAATGGATGGGGAAGATCAGACAGGACCCCCCCTCTGTTTTGAAGAGTCTTGGAAACCCTGGTGTTTTAGGTGAGTCATGCACAGCCATCTTAATTCTGTCCACTTGGAGGATTTATTTAACCTGAAAGTTCCCCAAACATAGAGATGGCCTCCCCGCCCGCTTTGGGGAGCCTTCTGTGCTTGGAGTGCCAGGCGGTCACATGGGCCCATCACTGCCAGTGTCTGCGCCTCCCAGAGGTGGGCCATGTCTGCCCTGGCCCTCCCGCCTCTGTGATCGGGCAGAGCATCCCCTGGTCGGTCTCTCTGCCCCACCCTTTGTAAAGTGGACGGACACGGCGGAATCAGCTGTCTCGCACTGATAGGTCAGGTGTTGATACTCGGTTTTCCCCACCCTCAGACACGGCGACCTTGAAGCAGTTCTTGGGTGTGTGGGTCCACGTGACAGTCCCCACAGCCTCCCCAGATAGGCGTGTGCCTGGGCGCCCCT